CACTAAAGTCAGCATTTGGCATTTTTAGCCTTCTACACCTGTGGGCCCTTATACCATTTAGAATGACTTGCAATTTTATAACCCATTTCATGCTAGACCTTGCATTACAGCCAATGAAGTACATTTGAAATGAAATTACTTGTCATTATGCAGCCATTTTGCAAATAGCATGATCAACAAATCATAATATGATAATAACCAGATAATTTGTTTTTGTGATGTTGGTCAATGAATAAATATTGGTTAGGATATGGAATATGCTGTCTGTCCTTCTTCAAAAGCGAGTCATGATCATTTTTTATGTTCACCTTGGAGCAGACTGATTTAATGTATCATCTGAAATGTAGAGGTGTGAACAGTACAACAATACCTTGAGATGCACTATAGTTTCAGTTTAGATTTTTTTGCACACAGGTGGATTTTCAGCACGGGGGTTAAAACCTAACACCCAGATGAATCCTGGTTCCTGAACCTGTGCCATGCCTGTGTTGCTCTTGTACATAATATGTTAATGCAAATTGCCCAACCAGAGGACTTTTGTTTCTCCAGAAAGCAGGAACTACCAGCCAGGCACCAGCGACAAAGGTAGGCAATGGCTATTTTGGGTGTTGTTGCTGTCTTGCCAGAGAGAGCAAGTAGCTCCTGCTCCAGGAGATCTATTGCAGTGGAATGTGGACATGCATATCAAGGTTAGGACCAGTGACCATAGTACATTTGTGACCCCACAGATTTGGTATAAAAATAACTACAAAGAAATTTGGTTGGACCCCACAGGGAACCCAACATCTGTGCACTAACGTACACAACACTGTTTCAGTTTGCCAGGAAGAAAAATACTACTACAGTCCCAATGGACAAGCCTCTGAAGGAACCCCTTAAGAAGCTTAAGGAGTTGTCATGTGGATGTGATTTCCCCCAACTCCCAGGTGTCATACTCACAGCCTATTGAAAATGTGGCACCAAATCTTTGGAGTGGACTTAGATAAAATAGCTTCAAACACAAAGTTAATCTAATTTTTTTTCAAACTGAACATTTCAAAATATCAGAAAGGTACATCCAATTGAACTCATGTTGATTTTTCAATATCTGACAGTAACTATCCTAATTATTAATTATACAGTTAAGCTTTTGAATCTTTTGGTTTTGAATGCAATTTGATAGCAACTTCTGAAGAAGAATTTGCTCAGTAATATGCATTGCATCTACTAAGCTTTAGGTTAGACTATCCAAATTACTTTAATGTAATTTTTTCATAGTCAGCAGACATTAAAGTTTTGTAATTACCATCTGGCCTGTATTTAACTTCATGCCACATGAACTGAGCTGATTCAATGTGCTGGCCCGTCCTTTATAGAACAAGTACATAATAAAAGACAGCAGAGCAATATTATAACCTACATTAAGCTGCTAGATTTAATTGCTGAATTGCCACTCAATTACAGGCTTGAACACAGCATAATGAATGACAAAGCAAAACTTTAACCCAGTTTATACATATGATAAATTTAGCACTGTGATCATCTGAGTATTAGTTTTGCTACGAATTATGGGATTTGTGGTTCATTCTTTAATAAAAGGCAACTTCTGCAAAAAAAATCTCCCCTTTACAGTCTTCAGCTATTGTCACTGTAATTTTAACCTAACTTCCTGATAGGATTAGGGTTAGTTTGGAACTGATGTCTATTTTACATTCCAGTTAATTTATGCTATGTTAAAGAAATATTAACTAAAGGATCTGTGCCAAGGAATTATTGAAGGTTAGGACAAATGTGTGTGTTGCACAAGGAGATTTGATAAGATAAATCAGATAGACCTGTCTTGACTGGTGAGTGAATGGGGATGGGAGCAGCATTGTTTAAGATAATCACTAAAAGAAATAAGAAAAGATAGATTAAAACAAAGAAATGTCTTCACGCTGAGGTTGTAAATTTCTGGAATTTTTCTCTTCCAGAGGGCTGCAGCTGCTCAGTCCTTAAGTGAATTCAAGTTGAGATTGATAGGGGTTGATTTGGTTCATTTGGCTACAGTGTGGGGCAGAATAATGCCAACAGTGCAAGTTCAGCCCTTGTACTGGTTGAGGTAGTCCTTGGGGTCTGTCTCCATGCTTTGTCCAATTTAGTGATATCATGGTATGAGTAATGACTAGCAGCCCTTTAACAATGTGGATAACAACATACCTGCCATGAAGAGCATGCTATTTGTAGCTCAGCTTCGATGCGTTGATCATATTATTCACATGGAGGAATCTTGCATATAAAAGACCGTACTCTACAGCCAGCTGACATTCTGAAAGCTATCCACAGAGCTTGCAAGTGGGATCCCAATACATGGGAAAAAACAATCTTGGACAGACCCAAATGTCTCTGTCATCAAACTGTTTCAACATTTGAGATTAGAGTCATTTATTCCACCAAATGCATGCAGTACTTGCAATTGGTTATGCAAATTGAACTTGGTCTACATTACACAAAGACATCAACCTAGACTATAAAAACTGAAAGAACTGCGGATGCTGTAAATCAGAACAAGAACAGAAATTGCTGGAAAAGCTCAGCAGGTCTGGCAGCATCTGTGAAGAGAAATCAGAATTAACCTTTCCGGTCTGGTGACCCTTCCTCAGAACTGATGGTATTTAGGAAAATGTCAGTTTATAATGACCTAGCCTTTAAACTGATTTTCTTTTTCTGTTGGTTCATGAAGTCTGCTCACCACAACTTTCTCAAGGGCAACTAGGATCAGCAATAAATGTTGACCAGCCAGCAATGCTGACGACCTATGAGTAAATAAAACGAACACTCATCCACCTTAAACAAGGAAAAATCTATTACGGTTGGTTCTGCTGTAACGTGTATTCTGGCAGCGCGAATTGGCTATGATGTGACTGGCAAATAGGGGAACGCTATTTCTAAAACGCGTACTTGTGTTGGCTATAATGCATTTCCATCAGTACTTAGAAAATATTGCAGGCAAGGAAATTTGGATTTCAAGATCCTTCTTATCCTGGAAAATGCACCAAGCCATCCTCCCACCATTGGTGAGCTTTCTGAAAACATCAAAGTGCTATTTCTACCCTCAAACACAACCTCTCTCCTTCAACCCATGGACCAGGGTGCAATAGCAGCTTTTAAAGCTTATTATTTAAGGCAGACATTTAAGAGGCTGATTGTAGCCACTGAGGGTGATTAGGACAGTGTTCTTAAATTTTGGAAGAGCGTTAACATCAAGAATGCAATTGACATTATCGTGGAGGCCTGGGGTGATGTCAGTAAGGACTGCTTGCATGTAGTTTGGCAGAAGCTTCTCCCAGATTTTTTTTTCAAGATTTTGAAGGCTTTGAACCATCAAAGTAGCTCCCAAGAATCAAAGAACATTGTGTTGCTCTTGCAAAGCAAATTGGATTTGAAGAAGTGGAGATTGAGGATGTTGAAGAGCTGCTTGAGTCCCACTGTGAAGACATCTCTACAGCTAATGTACAACAATTTGTCACTGAGGGGGAAGTAGAAGCTGGAGATGAAGAAGATGAAGTCCAGGATGCAGCACCATGAGAGCTTTCCACTTTTGTTTTGTATTCTATCCTGAGGGATGATGTGGAGGTGCCAGTGTTAGACAGGGGTGGACAAGCTCAGAAATCACACGACACCAGGCCATAGTCCAACAGGTTTATTTAAAAACACAAGCTTTCAGAGCTTAGCCCCTTTGTCCGGTGAAGCGAGTTCACTTTACCTGACAAAAGCCTACACTCCGAAAGCTTGTGGTTTCAAATAAACCTGTTGGACCATTACCTGGTGTCATGTGATTTCTGGCCTTATCCTGAGGGAAATTGAGAAGCAGTTGCAGCTCTTAGAGGACAATGATTACAATGCAGAACGCAGCAGGGTAGTGGTTCATGGAATAAGATCTTATTTGGCACCCTATGAACAGCTTCTTCATGAAAGAAGAAAAAGGGCAAAGCAGCAAAAACTGGATATTTTTTAAAGCCAACCCCCAAGAAACAGTCAGAAGACAATGAACCATAGCCATCCACTTCTGGATTAACTATTTTTCACCCTAACTCTGCAACCACAACTGCACCTGAAGGGGATGATGATGACCCTCAGCCCCTGCATTAACAACAGAGCAACCCCAAAACCTCCTCCCCCATCAAGTCATCTTGACATTTTTTTCAAGGTAAGGTATTAAATTTACTTTTATTTCATTATTAGATATGAATTAAACATTTATTCAAAATGTGGCTATCCTTTGTGTTAAGCCTTTGAGTGATTTTTGAACGATTTTGAGTGACTTTTTTGATGGTCTGCCCCTAACCCCACTTTTCCCATACGCCCCGCTATTTCTGTAGCACAATTTTCTACACCACAACGTTGCACAGGAACGTAACTATCGTGTTATAGCAGAAGCGACTGTATAATTGGCGTGCTAAAGGAATAATGAATGTAGTGATTAGGCATGAAAGTATAGTCGAAGTCGATGATAATCCTTGACTATCAAATAGTGAGCAACCTTGTGGGGCTATCTACCCAAAGCACGCAGATCCTATTTCACATAAATTTTCCTTACAATGTCCCAGTAAAAAGAGCAGTGGGGGAACAGAATTCTTAAAAGGATAGGTGATTTAAACGTTTGAAAATAAATGATACAGTCTGAACTAAGGGCAGAGGATTGAGACTGGGTTTCGTTTTACCCCAGAAAGCCTGTGCAAACACCAACACCGAATGTGTTGGTTTAAGGAACAAAAACAGAAGTTGCTGGAAAAGCTCAGCAGGTTTGGCAGCATCTCTGAAGAAATAAATCAGAGTTAACGTTTCGCGTCCAGTGCCACTTCCTCAGAACTGTTGCTTTAAGATTGACTAAGAGCATGTGCATAGACTTTTTGAAAAGCATTGTTTGCTAGGGAACAGGCAGTGCGGGGTATCAATGGGTTGATTCGCTCATTTGTCGGGCTATTTTTTTTTATCAATTCTGCTCACGAGAAAGAGCCAGTGGAGTTTAAGTATCTCTGGCCCCTCCCCGATGTGACTCACCATCTCGTGTTGTTACAGGAGAATGATCGGTTGGACTCAGCGCTTTATAAAGCGAGCGATCCCGATCGGTTTAGCAACGTTCAGGCAGCAGGCAAAGATAAGAACGATGGTGAGTGTTTGGCCTACCGCAACGAAGAACTGCGGGTGCTGGAAATCTGAAACTAAAACAGAAATTGCTGGCGAGACTCGGCAGGTCTAGCAGTAGTCTCTTCTAATTTTTGCAAATCTGGTTTGCACAGGGCAGTTCAAACATGCTTAAAACGTAGAGCCTTTTTCACATACTTTAGATAACGGGTTTTTCTGGACCTGTTCAGAAACCTGGGAACACTTTGCCCCTACCCCCTTCTCTTGAACCTCAAGGCTCTCAAACGCTGGCGCACTGCGAAAGCTGCACTTCTTTTTAATCCTCTCGCCACACTCCAGGCCTGTAATACTGCTAGCTGCCTCAAAAATAAGACTTTAAACCTTCTCACTGGGACTGGTCAGCGTTAGTCTAAAGAGATTTAAAACTAGAGCATATGTTAATATGACTGGCTGGGGACGTGGGATTGTGTATGAAGTATCTAACAAATTATGACGTTAACGATGGCCCATTGCGTGGGCTTCACTACATGAATTCTGAAACAGAATCCGACAATGCAAGAATTTACTACCTCTGGCAGCATCAATGAACAGCAAATCTGTTTTGAGCCTTGTTACCCCCTGAGTTTCTCTTTTTTTTTTCTTTCAGATTTTCAGCAAACGCAGTTCGTTTTTTTTTTTATTGTAGCAGATGAATTGTTGTTCTTTCCACCACATTGTAGGGTGACGACAATCATTGATGCCCAGTCTCCTTTCGTTTGTACTTCATTTATTGTCTTTGCGGAGTTACTCGGTTTCCTGGGGTCGACACTAACAGAAGCTTTTGGATATTGTGATCTGCAGTGTTAGAGTTGCACCTCCAAAATAGTTCTTCCTCCAAATGAATAGGAGGTCGGTGGTCAAGTATAAATTACTGCAATATGCAACCCAGTTGCTTCTACCTCAGCCTGTGCGGCCTCCCTAGTCTCCCTGGCACCATGTGTGAAAACATTTTACAAAGTGACTGCAAAACTCGTTTCAGATTACTTGAAATTGGACTCAAAACCAAGCTCTTCCAAACTGAATTTCACTTTAAACATCTTTGCATTTAATCTTGATTTCTGGCTAGTTAATGTTGAGGTTCTTGTAACTTTTATTCTCAGGTTTTTTTACGGCAACAATATACATTATTCTTAAATCTTTCTGTACATACACAGCTACTAAAGCAGTTCTGTCTAGTCTTTTTATGCCAAGATAAAAATTGGACTCTGACACTCCTTGCAGTTAGATAAACTAAAGTCATTTCTTAATCATGCAGGATGTGGAGGTGCCACTCTTCCACTGGAGTGGAGACAGTCAGAAGTCACAATACCAGGTTATAGTCCAAAAGGATTATTTGAAATCACAAGCTTTTGGAGTGCTGATTATTTTTCAAGTGACTTGTTAGGAAAAGTGCACAGGCATAGAATTGATCAGCAGAGAGAGCAAAAGATTGCACAAACAGGGGTGTGTAGTGTGTCAGCAGGCTGAATTAAAAAATCTCTGCAGGTGATCGTGTCAGATGGTGTGAGGAACGTATCACCAGCTGAACAGCAAGTGCAGGATGACCTGTGACTCAATTAATTGAGGCAGAGAGATAATTACACAAAATAAAAATGGTGCTGGAGATGAACCAAATGACTGATAGTTGTAAGAGTTGCATGCTGAGGACTTAACCAAAATAACAAGTAATCCCAAACTAATTAAGGTAGAGAGATCATAATAAGCCATCAAGGTGATGGTGTCAAAACAGGACAGTGAGGAAGATTTTACAAATACAGAGCAGAATGGTGGGGTTATATGTAGCACAACATGACCCCAAGGTCACAGTTGAGGCTATCTTCATGACTACAGAATTTGGCTATTAGTTTCTGCTCAGCAGTTCTGCATTGTTGTGTATCTTGAAGACCACCTTGGAGGGCACTTAGCTGAAAATTGGAGGCTGAATGTCCTTGACTGCTGAAGTGTTCCCTGGTTGGGTGGGAACATTCCTGTCTGGCAATTGTTGCACAGTGTCCATTCATCTATTGACCAAGTCACATGAGTATCTGCCGTGCTACACAGCAGATGCTGCAACCTTGAAATTGAGAGAGTCTGTATTTTCAGCTCGCGCTCAAGATACAACGGACTAGCTATCTGACTCTGCAAGTAGACTAGGCACCAGAACTACACCACCTACGTGCATGCCAAGAACAGGAAACTGGAGTAACTTTTTATCATCACCAGCAGTAAACAAACCTCCCTCTGGTCCTATGACAGGGTCGCCTGAAGAGACTTGTTATTTGACCTGTCAACACTCCACTCAACATTTGTACAATCTTTTGAGCTCTCTGCCTATAAAATTCTGTGCCTGTGTGCTCCTCTTCACGTCATCTGACGAAGAACAGCACTCCGCAAGCTTGAGATTTCAAATAAGCCTGTTGGACTACAACCTGGTGTCGTATGACTTTTTACTTGTGCAGGATGCTACTTATGTATGTTTTGAGGCAACGTGAGGGTCTGACAATTGAATGCCCCTGCCCCCATTGTACTTTGGCAGAAAGATGTAATTTGATTGAATTGCTTCAATGTTCTACACACTGAAATGATCTTCACAGAACACTGCATGCAGATGTGAATTTTCAATACTACTGCATCAGAAACCTCTTGCAAAACAATTTGGCCTTGATTTGGTGTTATACTTTGATTTTTGTATTCAAAACAGCCCCTTGTCAGGGGCTACTGGGGCCAGGTTTAAGCCTCTCAATGGCCTTTTGAGGCGGTCTGTTAACCCTCAGCAGATCAAAGTTTGAAGCTGGGTATGGTTCTTTTTCATACTCCATTGTAATACTTAATACCAGTTTAATTTTTCTCTGCCTCCAATATGGCACTTGCATCTTGTTAATGCAGCTTTATTTTTCACCTTTTTAATTCTGTTTCTTATTAATATGAAATTAAATTGTTTTCTGTACAACCTCAAACTGTAGGTGTTCTGCAGTAATCACTCAGAAGTAAGGGTGTGGCATGCCCTGCCTGCAAAAGTAGTAGACTCGCCAACTTTAAGGGCATTTAAATGGTCATTCCATAAACATATGGATGATAATGGAATAGTTTGGGTTAGATGGGCTTTAGATTGGTTTCACAAGTCGGCGCAACATTGAGGGCTGAGAGGCCTGTACTGTGCTGTAATGTTCTATGTTCTATCTAAATAGCACTTCTTAAATGCAGCAAAACATCTCTGACCCTTAAGACAGCAACCTTTTTAAAAACAAAATGGGCATCCTGTCTCGTCATTGGGACAGATGACCAGAATCCTGTCCCAATGCAGCAAAATATTCAGGTTTTGGGCTGAAAAATAGCAAGTAACATGTGTGCCACATAAATACAGAGCAATGATTACTTCCAACGAGAGAATCTAACCATTTGTTCCTTGATTTTCATGGAGTTACCATCTGCGACATCCCCACTATAAACATCTTGGGGATTACAATTGACCAGGAACTGTACTGGACTAGCCATATAAATACTGGGGCTACAAGAGCAGGTCTGAGATAAGGAATCCTGTAGTGAGTAAGTCACCTGTGACACCCCAAAACTTGCCCACCATCTACAAGACTCACGTCAGAAGTGAGATGGCATGCCCTCCAATTGCCTGGATGGGTACAGCTCCAATAACACTGAAAAAGCTTCACACCTTCTAGGACAATGAAGCCTGCTTGACTGGCACAACATCATCTGCACCCTGTATCATTGATGCTCAGTAGCAGTAGTGTAATATCTGTAAGATGCACTGTACAAATTCACCAAGGTCTTTTTAGGACCATACTTTCCAAACCCACAACTCCTATCATCTAGAAGGAAAAGGGCAGCAGATGTACAGTACCACCTGCAAGTTTTGCTTCAAGGCAGTCCTTATCCTGACATAGAAATGTGTCACTGTTCCTTCAGAGCCTACAGCTGTTTAAGAAGGCAACTTTCCACTGCCTTCTCCCCTAGCTAATGATGGGTATTAAATTGACCCAGCCAGCAATACCCCAACCCATAATGATTTTTTTCAAATTAGCTCTTCCCCAACCCCATTTTTATCCTCTGCCATAATCTTAAAACAATTGAGTTATGGTCCAATGCTCCCTTTAGAATTATGCCTTCCACCTGCCTAGGCTCAATCCTGAATATTAGGTTTAAAACTGTCCCCTTCCTTTTTTGGGCTTTTGTGTACTGGCATGCTTTTTTTTTACAAAAAAAAAAATTAATTCTCCAAGGTACACTCTCTCTTTTTATATAAAAATGTTGTTACCTCTACCTTGCACATTAAAAGTATCCCAGATAATATTTGGGTTCACTACAAACTCCTGTTATTACTAGCCAATATCTCGTAAATTTGATTTTTACATATCTGATCCTCTATCTCTCCGTGTGTATCTTGGGGGTCTTGTAGTACACAGCCAACACACGTTTGCTTTTTTACTTTTACCTAAAAGGCCTCATTTGATCCTACCAAGATTTCATGCCGTCTCACTACAATAATTGATTCACTGATAAATATTGTGACAACATCTCCACGCCCCCACCCATCTCGATCTTGTCTGAATGCCCTAAACTAGGAATGCTGATCTACCAGTCTGAACGATGGGCAGGACAAGTCTTGTATATCTGACATCATACTCCCACATGCCTGTTTGTGTCCTCAGCTCATCTATCTATATTTCCAAACATGTTTTCTTCATTGCAGTACAGTTTTCTTTCCCCTGCCACCCCATTGCTTCTAAAAGTCTGCAAGATTTGCCTGATCCCTTGCAGTGAACCAGACTAAGCCAACTTAGTCTGATGCCATTCACAGACAAATTATGATTGTGTGCTGATGGCTCCTTGCTTGCACAAGCAAGCATTTTCTTTTTTTAAAGAAAACTAAAGAACAGTGAATGCTGGAAGTCAGAAACAGTTCTGAAGGGTTGTTGACTCAGAGTTAACTCTGGTTTCTCTGCACAAATGCTGCCTGACCTGAGTTTTTTTCCAGCAATTTCTGATTTT